ATGTTTGAAAATAGGAAGGAGTACTCTCTCACAACAGAAACAAATAAAAGTACATAAAATACTTAAAAAGGTTCTTTTGAAGGTAAATAGAAATGTATAGAACTTATAAAAAGAGGTGAGGATATAAAAAACTTGAAAAAACAAAAATATCTACCATGTTTATAAGCAGCAAGAATTAATATAAAAAAATTCCATTTCTCCCAAATTATTCTACCAAGTTTAATGCAATGGAAATTTTGGGGCACTTGACAAAATTATTCAGAATAAACTATTCAGGAAAAATAAATCGGTAGAAAAAGCTTTTAAATTGTTTTTGAAAAAGGCTACAGGATGTTAAATATATTATAAAGTAATTTAAAAAGTGATTATAGAGCAAAAATGATGTTACACTAGACTAAAAGGTCAGCATAATTAAAATCAAGTGGTACTAGAGCAACAAACAGCCCCCAAATAAATTCTTGGTATAGTTAAGACCACAGTTTCTGAGAATTGTGGTGTTTCAAATCTAAGGGAACGTATAATATGACTAAGAGGTTAGAATAATTCAACCCAAATTCAAAAAGTCAGGAAGTATGAGCAAGTAATACCTAATCTAACCTAATGTTTTTACTAACCTGACCATTTTCTATAACAGCTACAATAGAGAGCAATGATGTACAATGTTTTCCAAGCGATGTCTTTTACTAGTGAGTCAGGAACAGACTTACAAATGAGTTATCAAGTAAATGTTTGACAAATAACTTGATAAATGCATCAACAACATTTTAAAACCCATTGGAGAATGAATTCAGTATCTGCTTAACTAATAATAGGAGTAAGTTAGATTCCAATTCACTGAAAATAGAAAAATAAATCCTGGACAAATCTAAATATAAACACTGAAAGCATACTATCAAATGCACTTCAAAAAAAGGTGATTTAATTTAACACTCCTACCAACACTATAAGTATCATTTCCCCAGTCTTTAGCAACATATATTCATTTTCTTTGAGAAATACTACTTGGGGGAGTGTGTGGCAAAACAATCATCAGAAACACATGCAAAAACAAATAATTGCAAATATCTACTGCAGCACAGCTTATAATTTTGAAAACTTGAAAAAGTCTTAAATTCCCATCAACCTGTTATCATTTAAATAATTACTGTACATTACTCAATAGACTATTATACAGAGATTAGTAATGATGTAGCTCAAAATATTTAATGACATGGGGAAATGTTTTTAAAATATATTGTGTAGTAAAATAATAGTTTACAAATGAGTTTTAATACTGTAATCCCAAATCTATAAAAGGATAAAATTTAAGTTTAAAATTATGTGAATGTGAAATAAGTTTAAGGATAGATAACAAACTGCTCAATATTAGGTTTCCTCTTCTGTTTCCTTCCTAAAGTCTTTTAAACTGTAGAATTTACCAAGTTCCCATATTAAAGATCCACTGTTTCATAATCAGAAAAAATAAAATAAAATACACACACACACACACACACACACACACACACACACACACACACATGTATATATATCTGGCTGTCAGGCAGATAAAAATAATTCCACTCCTGTGAATTTGTAACCAAATAATGATGCACACATATATTTAGTATAATGTTTATCTCAGTATTATTTAAAATAGAAAATACTATAACTAGAAACAACTTAAATGTCCAACAAAGAAAGGTCAGGATAAATAAGTTACAGCACCTCCATAGGATGTCCATTAAACTCTGTTTCAGAGACATATTCAAAGACCAGAAAAAATGTTGACAATACAATGTTTGGTTAAAGTATAGATTATGAAACTGCATGGGTTATGAGCCTTATTTTTAAAAAATAAATACATAACTGTGTGTATGTAGAAATCATATATTGCATTATAAAAAAGGCTGGAAGGAAACAACAAATATTAAAGTGATTATCTGTGGATGCACTGATGATGGTTTTAATTTTCTTCTTAACACCATTCTGTTTTCCAAATTCTCCACAAAGTAAGTTTGGAAAGTGTGATATACATACTAGAATATCTAAAGGGCAAAAGGTAAGAAGGAGGGGAAATTTAAAAATAAAGCAGCCATCTGTCTCATTGCTTTGATTTACTTTAGTTACAGAATTCTATTCATTTTAAATTTAAAGTAACATTAAGGAAGAGATTATTTTGTTTATCACATGGAGGTACAGGTTTTTTTTAAAAAGAGAAGCATAGCTCCAAACTATATGCTTATACTTTAAAAAAATAAAATATTTAATGAAGTCTAACATAGTAAGAGTATTATTTTATAAAAGTGTATAAATATAGTTAATAAAAATACCATCTACCTTTAGCATTACAATATGAAAATTAAATTGACTGTCATTTCAGCAATCTTTACGTCTTTATATTTTACTCTTAAGGAGCACCCAAAATATAAATGCAATTACTTTTACTTACTTGTCCTTTTCTCCTCTAAAATATTATATCAGCATTATACGTACAAGTTAAATAAGGAAAACACAAGATTGTTTCCTTGTTTTAGTATTTTCAATGAGTCAATTAAGGTTAATTTTTAAAGTTATATGAACATTTAAGGTCAACAAACTAATATTTCTAAGAAATGTAAGAATGTGAGATTACCAAGAATATTCCTATTACTCTTCATGCCAATCAATATAACCACTGAATTCTTAGTCAAAATATAGATCATTTAAAATTAGATTACATAAAACATTTTTAAAACTTTAAAAAATGTTTGTAACTAAATCAGATATTGTGCTACCTAATCTTCTTATAATTGTTACATTAAATTAATGAATCTGACTAAAGTTTTCATTCCATACATGTGAAGTAATTTATCTCGAGTATACAATTTCCTATTTTCCACATAAATAATGACAATTAGGAACAACCTCCTCAACTTTTGAAAGCTTCAATTTTCAGAAATGCCCCCTAAAAGAGCATCATCACATTCATGCTTTTAACAACTTAGAACATTTATTGTATTTGTAACAGATGATTATGGCATTGCATGCCTTAGTTGTTAAAAGCTTTTCAATCCTTACAACAAATGATTAAAACCTCTGAGATTTTGCAACTTGTCATATATAACACACCTGTTTCTCCTGAACCCACAATGTAAGCGGGTTTTTTTGTAGGCCAGAAAAAATTTTTTTCTTTTACACAAAAATTATCATCAGATTAAATACTTGAAAACTGATGCTTCAATTTTAAATTACTGATCTGAAGTTTATATAATTATATTATCTTCCAGTGATATATCTGACTATAAAGACTGATGCCTGACAAGTAACCCTTAGTTTTATATTTATCAAAATACTAAATACAAAGCCCTAAATGAAACTATAAATTTAATATTTTTGCTGGTAAAACACCAGTTTTTAAAACTGTCTCTTATGAAAAATAGTAGAGAAAGACCAATGAAACAAAAAGCTGGTTCTTTGAAAATGTCAATAAAATTGACAAACCTCTAGCAGGATTGACAATGAAAAACAAAGAGAAGACACAAATTACTATTATCAGGAATAAAATAGGGGATAATGAGGGATATCACTAGACACCCTGAAGGCATAAAAGGATAATAAGGGAATACTCTAAATAACTCTACACACATTTGACAACTTAGAAGAAATGGATCACTTCCTAAAAAGCACAATCTACCACAACTCACTCAAGATGAAATAGATAATCTGAATAGCCCTCAAACTATAAAAGAAATTGGATTTCTAATTTAAAAGACTACCAAAACAAAATCTCCAGGCTCAAATAATTTCATTCAAGAATTCCACCAAATGATTAAGAATTAACACCAAATCTACACAAGCTTTTCCAGAAAATAAGACAGAACATTTCCCAACTCCTTTTATGAGGTATTACCATGATACACCAAAACCAGGTACAGTAAAAAAAAAAAAAAAAAAGCTATTACTCAATATCCCTCCTGAACATAAACACAAAAATTCTTAACAAAATATTAGCAATTATACACAATGACCAAGTGGGGTTTAATACTTGCACATTGATTTTTAAAAGGCTGGTTCAATATTCAAAAATCAATCAATGAGATATAGCACATAACAGGCTAAAGAAGAAAAATCATATGATCAAATAAATTGATGTAGAAAAGTATGGGACAAAATTCAATACCCATTCACGATAAAAAGTCTCAGAAAACCAGTACTAGAAAGAAACTTCCTCAACTAGATTAAAAAATTTACAGAAAATTACAGCTAACACTATACTGAATTATACATTATAATTATACATTATATGAATTATACATTATGAATTATACATTATAATTCAGTATACAGTAACATTATACTCCTTTATAAAGGAGTAGTGCACAGCTTTGTGGTGATGGAAGTATACTGTATTTTGATTGTGGTGACAGTTACAAGAATCTACAAACGTAATAAAATGGCACAGAATTATGCACCCACACTGGACCAATGTCAAATCCTGGCTTTGGTGCTGTACTGTAGTTATGTATGATGTATTCATTGGAGGAATCTTAGTGAAGAGAACTTGGAACCCTTCTAGAACTTCTATAATATTTTAACTTTCTATGACTCTATTCAAAATAGAAAGTTTAAAAATACTGCTATATGTAATTCTCTTCTAGATGAATTGACAATAGCTTGACTTAAAGCAGCATACATAAATGTTCAGTAGTATTCAGTTTGGATAAAATCAACCACACTCATTACATTTTAAAGGGCGTGGCTATACAAGGGTAACTCTTTCTACCAACAAAGCAAAGCCTGGTTTATTTCAAATTTTGCATAATATTGGGTTGTCGCAAAAGTCATGATGCATTTTTGCAACGAAAAACAGAAAAAATGTCATGACTTTTCCAACAGCCCAATAAATATCTGAATTTTGAGAACCAGAGCAAACAAAAGAAGAACACTGAAACTTTTTTAGTAGTAATTTTTTTCCAAAAAATTTCTGTCCTACAGATATGATGCCTGTGTGTCCTCTAAATTGGGCAATAAAATTGTCTTACCATAATTAAATTGACTGTTGGACTTTTCACAGTTAATGATGTTAAACCTGTAAGCAACACCGGGTCGCATTCCACTGACTTCAAAGTAAAACCACTGATGATAATGATTACTATTTATATCTGAATTCAGAATAAGATCATATTCATTTCTGAAAATAGAAAATAAAGAAATCTGATGAAAATCAGAAAAGTATCTGTGTACATACGAAATGAGAAAATTTTAAATGACTTACTTTCTAATTTGAATTACTTTGCGCAGATTCCCAGATTCAAATTTGGAGTTAAACTTCAAAATATCTCCTTCTTCTGGAATGGTGTAACTAAATAAAAATTTTAAAGGAAGTATAATAAAATACACTGAATCTAAACAGTTGAGCAAAAAATACACAAAAATACACTACAGATTAAAAATACACCACTATTGCTACCTCACCCTCCTCATTATTTTTAAGCCAAAGAACATAAACACAAGCAAGACATAAACTTTGGCTAATATTTATAGACAAAAAAATTATAATTACAAGTAGAAATTTGTTCCTACATTTATAGTGAATATTAATCAAAATTAGAATTTTTGCCTCAGTAAATAAATGTCATTTCTAAATATGTACTAATAATCATATTTAAAAGGCTAGGTTTACTTTTTTAAATGCATGACCTATATTAAGTAGTAATAATTCTAACAAACTAAGCAGTTCTCAGGTGAAAATATTATTTTAAATTTAGAAAACTACATTATCTATTATTAATTAGCACCCAAAAAAGTAAAGGTATAATATCTTCATTTTACATATTCATTACTTCAGTAAATATTTACTGAGCACCTACTAGGTATCAGATACTGTTTTAGTTATTAGTCTGTTTCCCTGATTGAAAACAAATTCTAGCTCTTCTGGAGCTGACATCCCAATATGGGAAAACTAAGTCTCCAAAAAGCTCAATGATTTTGTCCAAAGTCATTTCAGTTAGAAATAGCACTAGAATGCCAAACTCAGGATTCTTGAGTTTCTGTTTTTACCACTTCTGCCTGGTCTATCTGACACAGAATTATAAATATTGAAATAACTAAGAGCTATGAATAAAGGTAGATTTGTTTTTAATTTCTAAGAATATTATTTCAAATTCGATCATTATCACTGATATAGCTTTTACCCTTATCTAACAAAAATCTCTGAAAAGTGTTTTATTTCCTCCAAAAAAGACCAGTAAAATCTGAAGTTTCCCAAATATATTAGAATGTTAAGGGAAGGAGGAAATCCACTGAGGGCTAATTAAATTTCTCATTTGGGAAAACAAATGATTAAATAATAATCACATTCATCATTTTCATTTATTCACTTTTATTGAAACCCTAAAATGTGATGATACCAGTGACAATCCTAAATTGTAAATAACACTAACAAATGGCAAATAATTTAAAGGACTAAAGCAGAATATATGCAGTAAGATATGAGAGAGTGTAGTGGGGACAGTGGAGAATTACAAGTGTATGTTCCTTCTGAAGGGGATGGTAATTTGCTGTTCTAAGTAAATGAAGTGGCTCAATATTACAGGACAAAATTGCAGCGTTTCATATGAAATCTCCACTCTCTTAAGTGGAGGTAATTTCAGTTTTATAACACAAAGCATCAGTTTGTGACCTCTACCTTATTAAATCCATTAAAAGCCTACCTAAGAATGAACAAAAGCTTGTGATACATTCAATTTGAGTAAACAAACATGATTTACTTATTACCATTACATTCCTACTAAAAGATGAAAACATACTGACAGTAAACTATGTGACATTTAACAGTTTTTATTTTTTAAAAATAACACTGAAATTTTACAGTAAAAATAAAATTAATTAAAAAAACCAGACTTACTTTGGGCTATCTAAGTCATATACCACTCGATCTATAATATCACTCTGATGTATTAGCCTCTCAATATCTTGGGCAATTTTTGTCCTGAAATCATAAAAGAGAATTTTGACCAAAATTCATTAATATATGCCAAGGCACAACTTTCTCAAAAAATAAGTTTCTGATGAAAAAAGAAGAAATGATAAAAATTTCTTAAACTAAAAATGACCTATTACATTGCTTTGTACACACCTGAAACTAATTTTAAAAATGATCATTCCTCTATATATTTTGTATACAAGAAAAATTATCAATACATAACAAGCAAGACATAAATCAATATTTTTAAAGTCCTAGTTTTAGAAAATAACCATGTTGAATACAGTTATAAGTCCAATCAATAGTTTCTTAAAATGTCTTAAATGTCTATTATGCTTTTTACATAGAAATGGTGTATATCCACTCTCTAGCCCTCAGGCAAATAATTTTGTGTGCATAATAGCAGTATTATTAGCAGCAGTAAAGATCTGAAAAGTCAGAGATTATATAAGGAGATTTGAAAACCCACCCTGGCTGGTATTTAGCTAAAATACAATTGGCAGCCTGCTTGCACATTGTGCAGAATCCGTTCTCTCTTCTATGGCTGGAAAGGAAATGAGGGGAAAGAAACACTTGTGTCAGGGAGCCAAGGTGGTCCCTCCACCTCCAGGATTCTCCAGGCCTGATCGCCCCCTGAATTGGTCCAACAAAACGGACACCAACTGGAAAATTCCTAAAATCCCTGCCACTGTTCTAGAAGGCTAGGCCACACACAGACTCCACAATCTTCCCGTCAATATTTAAGCCAAGTAAGACAACAATTACTAAAAGAGGCACCAAACTGCAGCTGAAACACAATAGATTTGGATCATAAAGCCAGCTGCCTGGAACTCCAGGTAGACTAGTCACAAAAGCTATAGTGGGAAGGTGCCGGGTGTTAATGCACAGCTACTTCTCATAGTATAGTAATACCCCATTATCCAAGAAGGGGACATTCCAAAATCCCCAATGGATGCCTGAAACCAGAGATAGTACCAAACTATCTATCTATATATATATATAATTTGAGGTGTGATAAAAAAATACAGTGAGTACTGCTGCCAAGTGCCATCCAACGGAAAGGCAGGCATCTTCAATATGGGAAGCAGTACACCCAACCTTAGTAACAGTGTGTGACAAGTTACAACTTGTTCGGTGCAGTCAGTCAGGTGTGAGCTATGGTTGAAAGAAGATACGTTTTAAAGTGTGCTGTAAATCATTATCCATCATGGCAACGCTCCATGTCACACAGCACTTCTCGTATACGGCAATTTCTGTCAAATAAAAACATTACGGAGTGGCTTCGTCCACCTTATTCACCGGATCTAGCACTGTATGACTTCTGGCTCTTCCTCAAAGTCAAAATGACCATAAAAGGTAAACATTTTGAATCAATTCAGGACATCAAGGCAGCCATGACAGCGCAACTAAAGACACTCATGAAAGAGGACTTCCAGAACTGCTTCAGAAAGTGGCAAGAATGATGGGACAAGTGTGTTCAAAGTGAGGGGGCATTAATGGCATGTGCCTATTATAATAATTTTTTTTAATTTAAACATTCACCATGTTTTTTTATCACACTTCATACCTATGATAAAGTTTAATTTATAAATTAGGCACAGTAAGAGATTAACAACAATAATGCATAATAAACTAGAAATATAATAATATTCTACAATGAAAGTTATATGAATGCGGTCTCTCTCAATATATCTTTTTTTTTTAATTTTATTTTTTTGTACTGTTAACTCACCTCTTCACTTAAAGGAAGCACCTTACCGCTTCTCTTTGAATATCCTCATTGCCAGTATCACTACTCTTGCACTTTGGGTCCATTATTTAGTAAAATTAGTGTTACCTGAACACTGCGATATGACGACAGTCGATCTGATGATACTACGATAGTCAGTTGAACTGATAACTGAGACGGCTACTAAGTGACTAATGGGCAGGGAGCATACAAGTACACAGCGTGGATACACTAGACAAAGGGATGTCACATCCTGGGCAGGACGGAGCAGGACAGCATGAGATTTCATCACCGTACTCACAATGGCATGCATTGAAAACTTATGTCTTTTCCTGAAATTTTCCATTTAATATTCCCAGACTACTGTTGACCACAGGTTACTGAAACCAAGGATAAGGAGGGACTACTGTATCACTTGTTCTTAAAGAGGAAGCCAATTCTATAAACGGAATTAAATTTTAAGTTTGCTTATTTCAGGTAAAAATTGGTAATCCAGATTAGAACTGTGGCTTATTAATTTATTGAGAGACTAGAGTAACCAAGTTTGCCAAAATGATTATAATAGAATCTCAAGAATACCCTAACCACTGAAATTCTCCTTAGCTTCAGGCAGGTGTGAAACTAGTCTCTTACACTAAGATACTTCTCTGTGATTAAAGAGTATTCACTCCCATATAATTTAGAAATACATCTAACAATATCACAGTGTAACCTTAAATTCAAAATAAGCCAAGAACCCATTCTAATGAAGAATTAAAAATTATCATGGACATATTAAAAAGTGATAATGAAACACATGAAAAAAAGGATACTAAAAAATTAAGGAAGTACAACTCTAAAACTCTTAATCTAGTATAGTTAAGCCTAACTTATTTTTAATTTTTATTCTATAAAAAAATAACTCAGCACTGACAAAGCAGTTTATTAAGAAAACTAGCATCAAAGGATTATGGTATAATCCTTAATTTAGACTCAATGTCATAATTTTCAAATACCAAATTCTTTCTAAAGAAACAAACCTTTACAAAGCTAGTACTTATATTGGGTTGTCAGAAAAGTCATGACATATTTTTTCTACGTTTTTTGTTGTAAAAATGTGTCATGACTTTTCCGACAACCTAATAATAAAAAACAAATCCAAAATTTATATCACCCAGACCTTCCTTCAACAATGAAAGAGATGGCACTTATATAGACTCAATATACCATACAAAAAAACACTCAAGCATGGGTGAATGGTTAAATACATCTATTTATCAGAATAATTAAATATTCATATAACGCACAAATTTACAAAAATACTTTAAAAAGTTTGGTTGTTTTAAAAGCAAAATGATATTAAAAGGCTGATAAAACAGCTTAGTTCTACAGCAATGTTCCGTAATGTAACATAGGGTAAAACAGCAGAAACCTACAGGCTGGCATGTGATGTGATTGAGTGAGGATGGCAGGGTGGCACTGTGGAAACCTGAGCAACGCAGGCTCTGCCAAAAAACAAGCTGATTGCTGCCAAGTAGGGAAGAGGTTAAGGTTATCATATCAATTTTTCAAGAAACACCAGAAACTTGGATTTCTATGTGGAATTTCTCAAATTTTAAATGCTGGGTCATAGGACCCAGCAATTCCTCTTCTGAGTATCTACCCAAAAAAATCTGAAAACATTTATCCATAAGATATATGGACCCCTCTATTCATTGCAGCATTATTCATGATAACCAAGACGTGGAAACAAAAATGTTCAACAGATGATTGGATAAAGATGTGATACATACCGTGTTTCGCTGAAAATAAGACCGGGTCTTAATTTGTGCTCCAACAATCTACATTTATTCATTTATTCATGCACAAAAATCTACATTTATTCAAACAGTCATGTCTGGCTGACGATCTTAACTGGGGCTTATGTTTAGGGTAGGGCTTATATTATGAGCATCCTGAAAAATCATGCTAGGGCTTATTTTCCAGTCAGGTCTTATTTTTGGGGAAACACCGTACAAACGATGGAATACTACTCAACCATAAGAAAAGATGAAATACTGCCATTTGTAACAACATGGATGGGCCTTGAGATCATCATACTAAGAGAAATAAGTCAGACAAAGCATCAAAAAACTTACGATTTCACTCTTATGTGGGATATAAAACTAAAGCAACAGTGGACAAGATGAACAAAAACTCATAGACACAAAAAAAAAAAACAAAAAACAAACAAACAAAAAAAAAACTCATAGACACAGACAACAGTTAAGTGGTTACCAGAGGGTAAGGAGTAGAGGGATGGTGGCAGGAGAGGGTAAAGGGGGTCAAATATGTGGTGATGGAAGGAGAATTGGCTTTGGATGGTGAATACACAATGCAATATATAGATGAAGTGTTATAGAATTATACACTTGAAACCTTTATAATTTTACTAACCATTGTCACCCCAATAAGTTCAGTAAAAAAATAAAGTAAAACATGCTTAAAGTAAAAGATATACATATAAATGTTGGCAATCAGTTTAAAAAACAACAAACAATAACAAAAAACAACGCTGTGCAAGTGAAGCCAAAATTCATGTACAAGTTGAATATGACCTATAGACCCCTGGTTTTCAACCTCTGACAGTGTATTTTAGAGGACAGAACTGTCCATTTATATTAGACTAAACCTAAAATTAATACTCAGGGAAATATTTGCCCTCCCTCAGCCCTCATTAATAAAGATAAACAGCACAACTTTCATAAAAGGATGTCAATCCTTCCTTCCTTTATGTCAGCTGCCTATGAAAATACTGGGTTGTTGAAGAAGTCATGATGTATTTTTCCTGTTTTTCATTGCAAAAATGTGTCATGACTTTTCCAACAGCCCAATGTATGGTTCTCCAGTCAAAACAAAACAATAAATATTTTCTAGGTACCCTCAGGGACCTCAAATTACTGACATTCAATATTTATTAAAGGCTTGGCTCAGAAGAAAATAATTTGTGCAGGGCATTTGAAAAATGCACAGCCCACTTAGTCCAACAAATACTCAAAAGTTCACATGATATGTGACCACCAGCAAAATTGTACTTTATTAGGTTTCAACCAATATAGAGCAACATTACAGAAACAATTCAGGACACCAATATATTCAGTAAATATATTGGTATACTTACTGTAAAGATATTATGGAAAATGTTCATTATATAAGCGTTCTCTGAGGATCCATAAAAGATATTCTACTTTATAGAGAGTATGGTATAACCAGATATATATGATCACTACAGTCATGCGTTGCTTAACGACAGGGATCCATTCAGACAAATGCATTGTTAGGCAATTTCATCACTGTGAGAACATCAGAGTGCACTTTCAAAAACCTAGATAGGGGC